GGATGGGACCTTGTATGGGAGCTATGACCAGTTATGGACCGATCGGAAAAAAATTATCTGTAATATTTCTGTGCATATGAGTAATATTTGTATCATATGGGTATCTTAATTAAGTAATGAGTTATGCGCGTTTAAGTGATTTTCGGGAGGGGACCTTGTTGGGAGCTATGACCAATTATGGACCGATGGAAAAAAATTTTCACAGTAATATTTCTGTGCATATGAGTAATACTTCTACCAAACCTTGTATGGATATCTTAATTTAGTAATGTGTTATGCGCGTTTAAGTGATTTTCGAGAGGGGACCTTGTATGGGAGCTATGACCAATTATGGACCGATCGGAAAAAAATTTCACAGTAATATTTTTTATGCATATGGGCAATACTTATACCAAATTTCATATGGATATCTTAATTTCGTAATGAGTTATGCGCGTTTAAGTGATTTTCGGGAGGGGACCTTGTATGGGAGCTATGACCAATTATGGACCGATCGGAAAAAATTTCACAGTAATATTTCTATGCATATGGGCAATACTTGTACCAAACCTTGTATGGATATCTGAATTTAGTAATGAGTTATGCGCGTTTAAGTGATTTTCGGGAGGGGACCTTGTATGGGAGCTATGATCAATTATGGACCGATCGGAAAAAAATTTCACAATAATATTTCTGTGCATATGAGTAATATTTCTACCAAATTTTATATGGATATCTTAATTTAGTTATGAGTTAAGCTCGTTTAAGTGATTTTCGGGAGGGGACCTTGTATGGGAGCTATGACCAATTATGGACCGATCGGAAAAAAATTTCAGAGTAATATTTCTGTGTATATGGGCAATACTTTTACCAAATTTTATATGGATATCTTAATTAAGTACTGAGTTATGCGCGTTTAAGTGATTTTCGGGAGGGGACCTTGTATGGGAGCTATGACCAATTATGGACCGATCGAAAAAAACTTTCACAGTAATATTTCTATGCATATGGGCAATACTTATACCAAATTTTATTTGGATATCTTAATTTAGTAATGTGTTATGCGCGTTTAAGTGATTTTCGAGAGGGGACCTTGTATGGGAGCTATGTCCAATTATGGACCGATCCATAAAATTTTTCCTCTGAAAGAATTCTATTGATATAAGATTTTAATTTGTAAAATTTTGTGAAGATATCGACATTGTGGCGGAAGTTATTAACAAAAAACCCATTTTCCGGGAATATGTACTTTTGTATGGGAGGTATATGAAATTGTGGACCGATTCTGGCAATTTTCAGCACGGATCAAGATCTTGTGCAGAAACGAATGTAAGGTGATTTTCATGGAATTATCTTGCATAGTTTTCGAGAAAATTACATCAGAATGTTTAAAAAATGCTTATTTTTTTCCGAGGTTGTTTTAAATTTTGATTCATAACTTTTCCCGGTGTGAACCGATTTTGCCCATTTGCAATACCAAACAACTTAGGAAAATGAAGAACATTTTGGGTGAATTTGGTTAAGCTCTATTGCTTCGTTTTATCGTGAGCGTGTTTTACACAGACAGACGGACAGACGGACAGACGGACAGACGGACAGACGGACAGACGGACAGACGGACAGACGGACATAGCTAAATCGACTCAGAATTTGATAAGGACCCAGAATATATATACTTTGTTGGGTCTCAGATGAATATTTCTTGGTGTTACACACGGAATGACAAAGTTATATATACCCTCTATCACCACTGATGGTGGTGGAGGGTATAAAAATTAACATAATTGTTTGGCATGGCTTTTCATAATAAAAATTTTGAACTTATTAAAGTTTTATGAAACAAATTCTGTTATACCTTTAATAAACTAAATATTTATTATAAAAAAATTAAATAAGTTAAGTCGTGTATTCCTAACTCATACCCTTTTTTATACATTAATCTCTGTAGTTTTTATATTGTCTTAAATAGTTAATAAAACTGGCTATTATTAGCAAATTCGGTTATAAAATGCTCTACGACTACATGGCTCAATAACTCCCTAGTGTAAATCTACGTAAATAAATAGGTTAGTGTCGGTTAAAGGCCAAAGGAGCAGAAAGCAAAATGAAGATGAACAAGAATTAAGGAACAACTAAATGAATTTCTTTATATGTTCATTGTACTGTCCCTTATGAATGACTAAACACATCATACCCAATACATTCTTATTAACACAAAGACATATTACACACATACACACATAAAATGACACATATTTAGACACGTAAAGATGAACGAAAAGACAACATCAGTACAATGAGTAAACAAAACACATTGATTAAACTTTACTCTTGAAAAGCAAGAAAAAGTGGAATGAATAGTATAAAAACTTCTATATAAAAAATAGTAAAAAAGATGTATTATTTAAGCTTTGCATAATGGGATGAATAGTTTTAAATTTGTTAAAAAATTTCAGAATTGGTGGTTGTGAGTTAGAGATTATGTTCTGGTTAAATTATATTTTATTCTCTTGTTTATTTGTTTTGTCTTTTGTTCCGCTTTTTTGTAATTATGAGCCATAGTGTATTCACAGTTGTAACTAAATTGATACATCAACATATGTGCGTTTATATATTGTGTGAATGTTTGATGTATTTGTGGGAGTTTGCTTAGTAAATATATGTATATGCATGTAAGTAATAAAAAATGTTTGCTTAAATGAAATTTTTATTGAATTGGACTCAAGGGATATACTTTATTTATACCAAAATCAACAAACAACAATAATATGGCAAAGAAAATCAAAAAGGAAGGAAAAACAGTAACAAGATAAAATACATAGAAAACAACTATATAAAATAAGTAATAGTGTTAAATTCGCTTATAACGAATCTTATATACCCAACATTAACACAAGAGTTCTTAATTTATGGTGAATTTCGGAACTTCGGAATTTCGGCCGTCTTGTTAATCGTACTGTTGATGACTTCATAGATCGATAATTTTGTAATTTAATGATTTATTAGATTTATGCTGAATTCTATTGTCGTAGATGTTGCCCCAGGGCATGTTTCGTTGATGATAGATCCGCATCTTGGTGTATTGCAATCCGGAGGAAAAGAGGTGTAACCAATACCTCAAGTCTGCCGGGACAGCAGAATATGCTGGATTATCGGTTGTGAAGTAGAGAGCCGGTATATGCTGGCGAATTGTCTGGTAAGCGTTCAGTAGTTGCCTGTCATTCCGTAGAAAGATCTTTATGATCATGGGAATTATACTGTATTAGAACTGATTTAGTATACCTTTTTACGCTTCGGAGAAGTTTCTCGGTGCTGTTGCCATCTCAACAGGATATATTGATTCACTATTTGTCGGTGCAATTATTGGGTGCAGTTGACTTTTGAAATTTTACATCCTGATTTATTATCTTGGGTATTTCGGGCTACCAAATACGTCTCTAGGTGCTGTTGCCAAACCAACAGAAGCCATCTCAGTAGTGTGGTTGGGCGACTTTAAAAGGTCAAGGAATGCACTGGGGTGAGTCTTTAGATGATGAGAATGTTTTGTAGGGACATGATCATTCCTTATAATATCAATAGGGTGTTTTCACCTGATGTTGGTGACTTCAATTAACTCTAACTAGTGATTGGCTTTTCCTTTGTCAGGGTTAGGTTGAGATTCCTCATGACACCTGACCTTCCCCAACGGGGCTACTATGGCAAGAGATTAGATAGCTGGAGTACTTCAGCAAAGTGCTTGTACATGGACCTGCTTAGCCATGTACAAAAATTTCCATCTGATTTCTTCATTGAAGGGGCGATGGTAGACCGTTCTCAAAGTTACCCGGTGGATGAAAAAGACCACAGTGAAATAGGCCAACATGGAAGCTGTTCACGTAAAGCATTTTGACATTCTGTCGTATATGTCCCCCTGGGGGCATATTACCTTGATGAAAGATCCCATCTTGGTGTGATTGCAATCCCGGGGAAAAGAGATGCTACCAGTTCCTCTAGTTTGCCGGGACTATAAACTGGTGATGATTAAATGGGGTCGAACCAGAGAAACACATAATCTGGCACGACGGGAACCGGTAGCCCACAGGGTAGAGTTTTGGACTTTGTTTTGTCCCGGTTATTGAAGAGGTTTCTTCAGGCTGCAAGTGGTTTAAATCCAAATTCGCGGGAAGAGAGTGTTGGTTAAAAGACTGATGCAAGGTAAGTTCGGTGCTTTTGCCGATGTCAGCAGATACCCCACAGAGTGTGTAAAGTGATTTTTGTTTTTATAAATCTAGTTTCAAACGAGCATCATCGATGTTGCGACCTGCGGTTTGATTACAACGTATACATGGGCAGACGAACATGCATGACGTAATCGATGTACAAACGCATTGTGTACTCCGCACTAAAGTGGTGTAGGGTATAAAAACTAAACAAAAATACAATAAATATAACAAAAACACATGCAATACATGAAATTGAGTAGAATTGTATTCTACTGTTTCTCTGCCAAATTTTTGTTTAAAAAACTGAAGAAAATTACAAACACTTCATTTAATTTAGTTGTATATTAAAAAAATGAATATAAACAGCGTTCGAAAAAGATTCAATAAACGATGAGGAAAAGGAAACTAATGATGATTGTTTCAAAGATTATAAACTAATCTCTACATGTTTTTAGTGCCAATAAACTCTTAAGTTTATGAGAAAAAAACACAAAAGAATTTTCAATTAACTTTGTTAAGTAAAATGTTGTTTAAGAATAAAAAAAACTAAACTGATTTTTTTTTTTAATTTAGAAAATGTATTTTTCCATATGACATCTCTTGCTAAGGAATGTTGAAGTTTTTGTTTGGCATTTAACTTAAAAAGATTGAGTACGTGTTTAAAATGTTAATTGTGGTTTTGGTGTGAAAGTTCAAATGTGAATAAATTAATAAATAAATCTTGTTTATGTAAAAATATTTGAAAATACAATTACATAAATAAAGACATGTTGGGATTGTGTAAATATTTATTAAAGGTTTATTTTTTTGTTATTTCAGTTTAAACTACAACGTACAAACATATTTGCTGATAAATTGCTGAATACTACTGGTAAGTGTTCTTTCCTCTCATAAACATTTTCATTTTCTTAATCATACAATTTTGTCCAAACTATGTATTCATAAATGCTGTAATTATTCCGTTTAATGAATGTCAATCATAGATTTGACTCATTTGTAATTGATTCAACTTCCTTGAGCACAATTATTTTATGTCAAATATCTTTGGGGGTAATTATACACTTGTGTTTGAATATGTGTGATAATTTATTTTATTACAAGAAATGAAATATTTCATTATTACATAGATTATAAATTAGGTTAGAAAAAATAAATTATACATTAGTCTTTTTTAAGTGCTAAATAATTTCCTTGCTAGAGAATATAGGAAATAAATATTTTAGCTGAAATATAAAAAGAGTTATATAAATAAGGTCATAAAGTACAAATTTGACACAAAATTAACAATACAAAGACTACTTATATGTATATGTATATATATATCACAATTTGAGGTAACAGTTAATTGATTTAATTAAAATTTTGATTGATTTTTTTGTGGTTATATATGCATTTTTGAATCTTTTTTACAATTTTTTGTTGTTGTCTGACATAAAAAATTATTTTTTAATTATTAGTTTTGTACTTTAGGTCCTTTTTCTTTACATACTTGTTAAATGTTCTTTAAAATTGTTGGCATATTTTATGCCACCATCTCTTCTTCACGGCATGAAATTTTCCCCTGTCGATGTGTGTGTAAAAGGGAATGTACAAGTTCCGCACTGTACTTCTAGCAGTCATACAAAAGAGTCGTTAAAACGTACTCAATAAATGTCTTAATGTCTGTTGAATCTGGCACATACACGTACTTATCTCGATTTATGTTGTCTATATGTGTAACCGAAGGACGGACTCAAACAATAAAGACAACAAGGGGTTTTCAAATACAGCTACTTGGCAGAAATAAAAAAAGAAATATGTATAATATATTCCTTTTTTTACTCCAACATCCTTAAATATTTTTATACTTCGAATGAGTAGAAATTCAAAAAAGGAAAAACATTACTTTTTCCATTTTTTTTACATATATACATACATATTCTTGGGTTAATACAGTTGTTCTTGTGTATATATTTGGTAATGATGTGTGTAATACATTCTAATTACATTTTAATGGTTTTTGGCAGATTTTATTTACACATTTATGTATTTTTCGGTTCCTCTTTTTTTTTGGGCTGGTTTGTATGTTAAAATATCATTATCGTCATCATCATCAACACACATGTATTGTTAAATATCATCGGTATAAACATGACATTCTATTTGTTTTTCATAGTTGTGTAAAGAAATGAAAGCCAGAAAACCTTAAGATGGCAAAAATAAACAAAAAAGCGAAAATACTAAGATAATATAAGAAAATAAATAAACAAATGGTTTATGTTTAAATAATGGGATTTTAAGTATTTATCAAAGAAATTAATGAGAACATTTAATAACTTCCTTTAAACAAATGATTGTTTGCGTTAGAGGCCAAATAGAATTTTGGTTGAATTTGTGTGGGATTTCATTTTTTTGTGGCTGTTTGTATAAGTGGTTTTTCTACTTGTATCGGTATTAGTTTACGTTATTTAGTTGATTGTTTTTGTTTTATTTACTTTTGTATTTACTTAATTTTTAAACTGCACCCTGGGCCAGCGTAACAAACGCTACAGAATTTGGGAAAGTGATTACTTTCTTTTTTTCTCAATTGATTTTTATACCATTTACCTTCGTGAGAAGGGTATACATATATATAGTATAAGTTTGTCACTCCGTTTGTAATTTCTATAAATTTCCGACCGTATAAAGTAGATATATTCCGAATCTTTATGGAGACGATTTAGACATGTCCGTCTGTCTGTATGTTAAAATCAGTTTTCAGAAGACCAAAGATATCTGCGACATCCGAATCTTCAATAATTCCGTCAGACGTGCTCTCGAGAAGTTTCTTATTTAAATTCAGCAAAATCGGTCCATAAAAAACAGAGATATGAACATAACTACGAGACAACCACTGAAAATTTCATTAAAAATTGAGATTTATTGTGCATGCTTAGACATTAAAAACAACAATAAACAACATTATATGGCATGTGTTTTGTTATTGTCTGGAAATATAAAATTGAGCATGCAGAGCCCGGAGTAAATGAAAACCTATAAAAAGCGACTTTTTCGTATTTTTTTTTACTTCAAATGGTATTTTTCGTGTTTTCTATAAAATTTAACCTAGAAGCATGAAATTAAGCAGGTATAGCCCGGAGTAAATGAGAAACTATAAAAGGGGACTTTTTTGTACTTTTTCGTTTATCAAAAGTACTGTTGGAATTTTCTATAATATTAAATCTAGAAACATAAAATTAAGCATGTGGACCCAGGAGTATATGAAAACCAATAATAGGAAACTTTTTGGTACTTGTTCGTTCTTCATTGATCATAGAAACATGAAGTTAAATATATAAAGCACGGATGAAGTGAGAACCAATAAAAAGGGACATTTTGGTACTTTTTAGTTCTTCAAAAGGTACTTTTTATATATATAAAGACCTGAGTAAATAATAACATATAAAAAACATTTTGATACTTTTTCGTTCTTTAAAAGGTACTTTTTGAATTTTCTATAATATTGAACCTAAAACATAAAATTAAGCATATAAAGCCCGGAGTAATGAAAACCTAAGTACCACTTTTTTGTTTATTAACTGGTACTTTTTGGTTTTTATGCAATATTGAACCTAGAAACATATAATCAGACATATGTATAGGATCCTGATGGAATGAAAATCTAAAAGAGTGAATTTTTTGGTACTTTTTGTTTTTGAATCTTTTATAATATTGAACCTAAAAAATGCTAAATTAAACATGCACCAGACGGATTGAATCATTATTTTTAATAGATAACATTATGGTACTTTTTCATCATTCAAGTGGTACTTTTTGAATATTTTTTTAATATTAAACCTAGGACTATCGAATTAAACAAGCATCGTCCTGATAGAATGAACATCTATAAAACGGGACTTGCTTGTACTTTTTCGTTTTACAACTGGTATTTTTTGATTTTGTGTAATAAAATTAGTACTGATTGTTTTTTTTAACACACTCTGAAGGTGAAGGGCATATAAGATTCGGTACATCCTTACTTGTTGATTATATGGAAGGTATAAGGAATTATGAACGGATTCTCATGGAATTTGGTAAGGAGATTTCGGTTCGTATAAAGTTTGTTTATAACGAATTTCAATCGTTGGAAGTTTCAATCCAATTCTGAACGTTAAAGAGAATCTTACAATATATGGGCGCTAAGGCCAAGTTTTCTAGTTTCAATAATGCTCAACAATAAGGTAATAATAATAAGAAAACCCACAAATTAAAAAAAAAAAATTATAACTAAAATAGGATTTTACATTTTTCTTTTTCTTTATTTAAATTGATTTAAATAAAAATCAATTTGTTCTAAATTTCTGTAAAAAAGTGATCATATTTTTAAATTTAATATTATATTTACATATTTTTTATAAAAATAAACCATTTTCAATAAAAAATATCTAAAATAATATCAACATCTAATCGTTCTTTTGTAGACCAATTAAATATCTTTGTCCATTGTTAGTCGAAAGAATCTCTTTTGCTTGGTTGCATTATGTATGTGTGTTTTTTATTTATTTTATTAATATTTTTTCTTGTGTATTTAATGTTTTTTGTTTTATTTCCAAACCAATTCTCTTAATAACTTTTATGTTTTTATTTATTGTGTGTATTTTGTGAATATTGTTTCCTTTTTTGTTTGTTTGGTTTGGCTCGTTATTTTGTTTGTTATTATAGATGATTGTTGTTATGTTTTGTTTGTAAAAAGGCCTTTAAAAAATATTGTGTAAATATGCAATATTTTCTACCCATATTATGCTACACATTTCAAACAACATTTTCAGTTTGGAAAGCCCCAAAAAGATTGAAAGAAAGTATATATGTATGTGTTTATGTGTATAAAAAATAAATAAAAAGAAAACTTAAGACGATTTGGTCATGGCTAAGTAAATTGGATTAAAACGTTTTTTTTTGCTACTGCTGCTGCACAGTGGGGCAGAATGGAAATTTTTTGGAAATAAATCTGGCATTTCTAAACGGCTGATCCGATCGGGATAAAATTTGGCGTGAGCGTAGCCAAGGAGTATTCGAGTTTAAGTTTTGAAGATGAACCCTGCAGATGCCCCAGGGACGGCGCTGTGGCGGCTCAAAGTAGGGTACCTACGACATGTAAAATTTTTAAACTCGTGCCATTTTTTTGTTTTTCACCCAAATACAAAGATTTTTATATTTTATATTTGCGCTCGACGAGATCTTGAAAAAACATACTACTTATCTCTTATAATATCCGAGTTATAGGCATTTAAAAATTTAGTGATACAAAATTTACCATACCTTGATCCGCCTTTTTTTGAATACCGGGCGTAATTTTGGACCAAATGGACTCAATTTTTTCTTGTTAGTTAGACAACAAAATTTCCAATAATATACAAAAAATTTCAGATCAATATTGTTTACAGATCCAAAAATATACGTTTTTTAATTTAAAAATTCAAAAAATTTTAGATTTTTGGCATTTTTTTGCCAAAAATGTGTCTTAACTCTTTTATTAATAAAATAAAATTTTTATTAAGAACATATAACAATTTTATAGTTTTCTAAAAGGTATCTTTACGCAGAACGCTTTGGCGTAAAAAACTTGTCCTATTTTTTGAAAATGTTGCCACTGCGTCCTTCCGAATATGACCTATTTTTTATCAAAACTTCAACTTTGGGCGACATGTTCTAAAATCCCAAAGCTGGGATCAGAAAACTGAAAGCAGTTTTGGAAACCTCAATATGTTTTCTATTTACTCCAAAAGTATTTTCCCAGCCCTGAAAGAAATGTGGACCCTATGGGCAAAAAAGTAAAAAATCCCATTTTTGGGATTTTCATTCCTATTTTTGGGAATTGCGGGATGCCCTTTGACCTTTTCAATTTTTTTTTTG